TATTATTCTCCTTTTGATATTTTTCAACTGTTTAAAAATATAAAACCCATCCTTAGCTTGTAGGTGGCCCAGGCCACAGTTTGCTGATCCCCTGCTCTAATCTATTCCTCACATGACATCCAGAAACACACTGAGGTCTCTCTTCTGCTTCATTTCTGCACTCAGAATAAGACAATGCCTGTGGTGTCTGGGTACTGCCCGCCCCTCTTCCCTCCCCCACTCATTCACCATGCCCTACCCACTCTACCCTTCTTCTCTAGAAGGTCATCTCCATGTCGTGGCCTTTGCACACCTCAGTCCTTCTAACTAGAATGTTCTCTCTTAGGTTCCCTCTTCACCTAGATGACTTCTACTTGTCTTTTGGGTTTTGGGGGCTTCTGTGGGTAGAGAAGCTTAAACTTCCGGAAAGGTCTTCTCTGATTCTCCTACATTTTTTAAAAAATATATATTTTATTGATTTTTTACAGGGAGGAAGGGAGAGAGATGGAAAGTTAGAAACATCGATGAGAGAGAAACATAGATCAGCTGCCTCCTGCACACCCCCTACTGGGGATGTGCCCGCAACAAAGGTACATGCCCTTGACTGCAATCGAACCTGGGACCCTTCCGTCCACAGGCCGACGCTCTACGCTCTATCCACTGAGCCAAACTGGCTAGGGCGCCTATATTCTTAATGCTCCCTTTCTTATTCTCTCAGTACCATGTCCTTTGAATGTTTCTGTTTCCCTTAAAACACTTACTACAAAGGGTAACTATGAATTGGGGCCTTGATTTGATTTTAGTGGAAAACTCCCTGAAGCCAGGGACCCTGTGTGCCGTGTTTGCATTGTGGACCAAGCACCAGGCATGGTATCTGGCACAGTGGGTGTTCCATGAACGGCAGACAACAGAGTGGATTTTCCACTAGAATTCTTTCAGGAGGACCCTGTGGACTTCAGGGAAAGGCCCACACGAGCCAGGGCAGGCTTCCTAAGCGGAACCCTCCTGTACACCTGGGCTCTGCAGAGGCATTTCCAACGAATCTGCTCCAGGCAAATTCCTGGCCCTGGAGAAGCTTTCATTAAAGTCCCCACTCTGAAACCTGCTATGCATTTTCACTCTAATGTCATCCATCTGCTGTTCTTCCTGCGTTCCAACACGAAAACAGCCTCCCCCACTGAGGTTAACCCTTCTCAATAACTCTGGGGTTGCCTGAGATCTTAAAAACATAGCTGTTGAGTCAGAATACTTTATTCAGCTGCCAGTCAGGAATGCTGGGGCAATGTCCAGAGGCCACGGAGAGAAACACAGCAGCCTTCAGCCCTCTGCCCACTCTAATCTACCCTCTGCAGGGCTGCCAGAGTTACCTTTATCTAGTCACTCTCCTCCACACTGCCCACTGCGCCTGTGGGATAAAGTCCAAATTCTTCAGCCCACCTTGCAAAGCTTCACCATTCATTCCATCCCAACCTATCTTACCAGCCTCATCTCTCATCTGCCTCCACCGGATCCTAAACTCAGTATTCTAGACCAGAACTGTACAATTCAGTTGCCACTAGCATTGTGGCTATTACATCTTTAGTTAATTAAAATTAGATTAAATTTAAAATTCAGTTTCTTAACCACACTAATCACATTTCAATGGCTACAGCATTGGACAGTGAGGCTATAGAATGTTTCCCTCGCTGCCAAAGATTCTATTTGGACAGCACTGTTTTAGATAATAAGACCCACTCACCATCTCCTAAAAGACTATTTTAAATATGCAATTTACACATAAGTACATTCTCACTGTTAATTTTCTAACCTTACAAAAGTCTCCTTTACCAATTCTATACATCTCACTAGAGGTAATCACAGAAATAAATTTGGTGAATATTCTCTCTGAATATTTTGTGTGTGCTGCACTTTGCTTTTTTTTCACTCAACAGTGCCTTGGAGATCTTCATATAAGAACACATCTCTAGACACCATGTATTTTAGGTGCTGCAGAGTAATCCAAAGCATGAATGAACTTTAGGTTATTTAACCATGGCACTCCTATGGACATTCGTTTTCTATTTCCCCTTATTGCAAACAATACTACATGCAAACATCTTTGTATGTTTTCATGCGCTTGCACACGTTTGTCTAGCACAGACACCAAAAAGTGGAATTGCTGGGTCATATGCTAACACCCCTGGGGCTTGGCACACCCTGGTACTCCCGCCTAGAATGCCTCTCCACATGACGAATTCCTGCTCATCAAGACCCATCAAGTGTCACCACCCATGGAAGGCAGTCTCTTCTGTCTCTCTTCTCCCATAGTACTTCATGTCCACAGAGAATCATTATTGTGCACTTAGAGCCCTGCCTTATTTATCTTTATGTTCCCAATACCCTAGCATAGGGCTTAGTATAGAGCAAAAATTCAAATGTTTTCTTGGTTGGATAAATGAATGACTAAATAAATAAACAAGTGAAGGCACAGGGGTTAGGACATTCCAGATGCTCAAGGTGAGTGAGTCTGTGAATGTTTCAAACTTGGGCTCTGGACCAATCTGCCACTTGGTGCCTCAAGCCAAACCACGTCTGTAGGTCTCTGTCTATCCAGCCCTCTGACCTTGGGCACTCCACTGATAGAGCAGTGTGAGTGTGTAGGGGCTCTGGCTGTGGATCATAGAAATCTGAGCCCTGGGGGCAGCCCTAACAGGGGGTTGTCTTTCAAGAGCAGCTCTGTCTTTTCCCCTTTTGAAGCAGCTTGGTGTGCTCTGGGTTTGGGTTTATTTTTTCTCCCTATGGTACCTTAGGGGCAATTAAGATCAGCTGCAACATTTCTGCTTTCTGCTTCCAGATTGAACCCAAGGGAAGCCAGATGTTTTACACCGGCATCCACTCCTGGTGATCTCATTAACAGCCCTGTTTTCTGAGTCTCTGTGACCTGGCTTCCCCAGACCCCAGGGCCTGGCTTGCAGCCTTGCTTTTTAATGGGGTTTTAATAAGTGGCTCCTGTAATTAATTTCATTCTTGTGTTTTCACACTTTCTGTCTAGGTGCCTAAAGGCCCTCAGGCACTAGGTGGGATGTTAACAGATTTTAAATAACACAAACCACTGTCACTGTCATCAGACACTACCCCAGCTCCTCTCATTTGCAGTTGTTTTACAATCCGCAATTAGCCGGGGCACGCGGCCCATTTGGGACGCCAGCCGGTCACCTGTCATGTCTTATAGAGGTAGAAACAGACACGGAGAAAAGGGACTTGTCCAAGATGCAGCAGAGAGTGGGTGCTGAGCCTGGTTTCAGAAGTTCATCCTGCTGGGCACACACCCGTGTGAGAACCCAGGCAAGGACCCACTACTCAGGTACCACTTGCCAAACGGCTGAGGCCTCAGACCAACGGTCTTGGGTGCCTCACTGGGTCTTGGGGAGGCAGTTTCGCCCTCTCACTGGGACTACGGAGCAAGTCCACCCTCAGCAGCTCATACTATCCCCTGCAATTACCTTCATTCATTCCCTTCTGGCCCTTTCCAATTTATGAGCGGATTTATCTGCACAAAGAACGCGCCAGTAATTCCTCCCGGGTTTACTAGAAACATAATTTCGCTATTTTTAAAGCTACGGTTTAAAAATCCGCTCACACGTACTCACACTCCTCTGGGAGTGTGTGTGTGTCGGGAGGGGGCGGGTGTCGGTGTGTATCGAGTGCGTAAGGAGAGAGAACGTGACCCTGGGCTTCCCAGAGCTCCGCGTCCTCCCCCTGAGGGCGCACTCCTGGGAGGGCACCCGGCTCTCCAACCCCGAGCGACTTTGCGCGGTCTGGATCCTCCGAGCCCCCGGGCGTCCGACCTCGCCGGCCTGAGCCCCCTCTCGCCTGCCAGGGGAGGACGCGGCCGCCGGGTCACCAGCGCAGGAGCGAGCGGGAGGGGAGAGGTAGCTGAGCAGGTGGCGATTAGGTCAGCTTCGGAACATTCTTGGGCCGCTCCTGTGGATATAAATAACAGAGGGCAGGCTCCGAAAAAATGCCGGGGTGGGGACACGGGCGCGAGAAAGAAGGGATTTGTTTAGGGTGGGGTGGCATTGTGGGGATCTGGAAAAATCCACCCAGGCTGGTGCCCGACACAGGCGGTGGAGGGGCGAAAGGACTTAAAAGTGAATACAGGAGTGACACAAAATGTGGGAATAAGAACGCGGAGGGGGAGGAGCTCTTGCCTTTTGGCCCCACCCCTACCGCGTGCGGGTCCCAGGCTTCCGAATGCGCCTCAGGTTGGCAGGCCGGGCTGGAGTTGGAGTCCCGGCCCTGCCCCACTGCAGATCCCGTGCAAGCCGCTGAAGGTATCTGACCTCAGTTTCTGCATCTGCACAATGGAAATCCTAATGCTCACCAGGGGATGGTGGTGAGCTACGTCGGAGCTAACTTCTAAGGAGTCTGTGATCTGCAAAAAATGTAAGGCGGTGTAGCCCCCAGACCTCCCTCCAAAGGATGTCCATGCGCCGGTCCCTTCCCGCTTCCACAAGTCTCCCAGGCTCCGCAAAAGCCGGGGAGGGGCAAAGCTGAAATCGGACGCCCTGCAGCGGCTCGGCGCCACCCTGGGGAGTCGGCCCTGGCACTTCTCACGCGGGAGCCGCGACTCACGGCCCGGGTCCCGGGAGCCGCCGGTCGCCGCGATGCCAGCGGCCCCGCGCCTGCGGACGGACGGTGGGGTAGGGGCCGCGGCAGCGAGGAGAGGGCGGGGCCGGGGGCTGGGCTTCCCGGGGGAGGGCCCGGAGCGCTCCGGGAGGCGGCGGTCAGGGCCCGGAGCGTCAGGACTCCAGCAGGAGCGTGGCCGGACCCCAACTCACCCCAGCGCGCAGGGAGGACGCGGTGAGTGCGGCAGCGCGGAGACCGCGGGAAGGTGGCGGCGGGAGCTCCGGCTGGAGCCCGCCTTCCCCTCGCTCCCACCCCTGAAGTTTGCAGTGGGACCGACTCCCGCCCCCGGAGCCCCTGGCCACCCAGCTCGGTGTGTGGACGGAGAGTTGCCACTGAACCGAGGGGGTGGTTCATCTGCGCCGGCGGCGCGCACCCTGAAATCTCCCAGGCCGGCCCGGGGGAGGGGGCTTCGGGACCGGAGGGTACACCATCTCCTGGGGCCTCTTCAGGGCTCCAGATCGTCCTGGGGCCCCCGAAAGGGCCTTCGCTCCCCGGCGACCCTTTTGCCCTCTGCAAAGAGCTCCAGTTCCCGGGGCCGCTGCCCGGGCCACCATCTCGAGTCCCCCTGCCCTCAGCAGTGATCGGCCGGCCCCACCCCCGCCGAGACCGAGTTCGACAAGTTTGGCCAACAAGTCCGGGAACCTCCGTGGCTGGGCCTGGCCTGGCAGCTCCGCTTGGGCTTCATGGCTCTGAGTTGTGCAGCACCCGGCTGGCCAGAGGGGCCGGTCGAAGGGCGACGTCCACAGGGTTGAGAGCAGAGCCCGCCAGCCCCTGGGCTCCGAGGTTTGGTGTGGAAGGTCCGGGTTTGGAGTGCGTCATCGGGGAGCAGGCACCTCGGCAGGCAGGTCGGGTTTCCAAAAGTGCCCCTTTGTTATGCCCCTCCCAGGCCCTGCCTCCTCCCCTTTCCCCGCGCCACCCCCTCCCCCAGCCGCCCTGGCCACTGATTCCAGCGCTGTAGCCTAGGCGTCCCTATGTTTGCCGCCCCCTCCGTGCCTTCAACTCAGGGCTGCCGGCTCTCCGGGAGGGGCAGCTGGAAGAAGAGGCCTTGGGTGCAGCCTGTGACTCAGGACAGGATGGTTGGGCAGGGCAGGAAGGCAGTACTCCCTCCCAGGGGCTTGCCTCCAGCTTCTGGGAAGGGGGAGGGCAGGTCTGGGCCGGGGTTACCTACCTGCCTCAGGTAGGGAGAGTGGGTTCTTTCCTGAACCCCAGGATTCCTTACCTTGGCCCAGGCAGCTATGAGGAGACCCTGCCAAGTCCTAGCCGACTTCTAGGGGTCCAGTAGGTGCTGACTCCCTGGGCCAGGAAGCTTTCATTATCTGCTTTCTGAGCTCTTGTCTGTGGCAGGGTGTTCTGGGGACCGTTCTGCGTCTCTGCTGAGATCGGGAGGTCCAGGGTGCAAGGCCCACCCCTACAGCTAGATCCAGCCGGGCCTGTGGGGCCTGGCTGTGCCTGGGGCTGGGTCTTGTGTTTGTTCTGGGAGGCTGGAGGGAGCAGTGCCAGCCCTGCACACAGCTTGCTCTGTTCTGGGGCCAGAGAGAGGGAATGGGCCGGGGGCAGCTCTCCAGGGAGCTGGGAGCATGGAGCTGGGGCGGGCTGGGGGCTGGGGCCCCAGGATGCCTGACTGGGATGCCCCAAAGGCCGGTGATTGACAGCCGCAGCTCCATCTGGTTGGCAAGTGGGACAGACTCAAGAGGAAGCAAGGTGAAGTGCTGAGGACCCTGGTGGGGTTAGCGGCTCTACTCTGTGCCCAGGCACCTCCGTTGCAGGCCTGAGCTCTCCTGTTAGCTGAGGGGGGGAGGGGGGGAAGCTCGCACAGGCCAACCTTTCACACAGCTGCTGTAGCTGTGGGTTTCCTGGTCTTCAGGGGAATGACATTTGTGTTTTCATTCAACTACTAACACCAGTGCCTGGAGGAACCCAAATTGGACCCTCAGGAAGTCTGTCAACGGCTGCGGACAGATCCTGTGGGATTTATACCCTGACTGAGGGGTCAGAGGGGCTGTGGGAATGGGGATGGTGGGTGGGGCTGTGGATGGGATGCCTCGATTTGAATAGGAAGAACGGGTAGAGGTTTGTCAGTGTGGAAGGGGCACTGCGATGAAGCCTTGCTTGGGGGCAACAGGCACATTCTGTCCTCCGTCCTCAATGGGCCTGGCGGAGTCCCCTGGGCTTGCTCAGAGGAGGATGCGATTTCCTTCTAGGAGCCCGAGTGGCTGCCTCGGACAGCTGAGACCCTGCGCAGAGGCAGGAAGGGAGTGGCCACGTGCCACGGTGTCCTCTCGCCCCTGGGGTGGTGGTGTGGGTAGGAATCCGCCTTGCCCTGCTCTGTGATTCTGGAGAATACTCATAACTGGCCCGTCACCTGTCTGACTCCCTCATGGTGTCGCAGACTCTGAGCTTTTTGAGGGTGGGGCTGAGTTGCTCATTACCCACAGAGCCCTGTGGGACCTCAGATGCTGGGGCCAGGATGAGTCTCCTTGTGACCGTCAGGCCCCTCATACTGCTGTTCATTGCTTGGTTTGAGTGTTATACCAGCCCTGGCACAGAAACAGACCAGGGGGCAGAATTTCCATCTGAGGAGGGATCTGAGGCTCCCTTACGAGGCCAAGATGGGACTCGGGCCTCTGGGCTCTCAGTCCTTCCCAGCACAGGGAAGAGTGGCTGGGCACCCTCTGACTTGGCCTGGTCTGGAAAAGGACCTCCTTGTTGTTCAAGGAAAGGCGGCAGGACCCCGGCTGGGGCAGGCGTCCTCTTTCTCATCTGCAGTCAGGGTGGTGAGGCCCTCTGCCCACCACCCACCCCCGCCTGCCATCTAATCCCCGGCTGGATCGGATGACCTGCCTGGCATTCTCCTGGCTGGAATCTGGCGCTTCTGACAGCAGTTGCTATATTGGGGGAGCTGGGCACCGCCCTGGACGGTCTAGGTCCCCGCCCTCACCCCCTGCTTTGCTCTCATTAGCTTCCAGGCAGAGTCACAGTGGCAGCTTTGAGAGTTGGACAGCCAGGTCCCTGAAGTGATCTCTAGGCTCCAGGTACATGGGGTGAGATGGGGGAGGGCAGACCCAGGGTAAGAGAAGGAGCTTGGAAACCGCCATCTTTGCCCCTATCCTGGCCCCTCTTGGGGACTCCCAGACCCCTGCCTGCTAAGTCCTAGTTACAACAGCCCCAGGGGTGGTGGGATGGCAGTGGGGGTGAGCCCAGGGACAGGAGAGGGCCTCTTGCTCTCCCAGAAAGCATGTGCCCAGCTTCTCTGCTTACCTCTGTACTCCACAGCCCCCGCCTGCCACCATTCCGTGCTGCAGGGACACCATGGCTCCAGAGGAGGACACTGGAGGGGAGGCCCTAGAGGGCAGTTTCTGGGAGGTGAGCAGATGGGTTTGGGGGTGGCACTGTCATGCCCACCCCTCTGGGCTCAGCCTCCTATCTGGGGTTGTCTAGCTGGCAGCGCCAGCCCCACAGGGGGCTTCTCCCTGGCCACTCCGCCCTTTCCATGTATACCCCAGGCTGGCAACTACAGGCGGACAGTGCAGCGGGTGGAAGACGGGCATCGGCTGTGCGGGGACCTGGTCAGCTGCTTCCAGGAGCGTGCCCGCATCGAGAAGGCCTACGCCCAGCAGTTGGCTGACTGGGCCCGAAAATGGAGGGGTACCGTGGAGAAGGGTGAGCCGGCATATGGGCCTAGCAGGGAGCAGAGAGCTACCAATGTGGGGAGATCAGGCAGGCAGCTTCTTCTTTTTAATCCTCAACCAAGAAATGAGGATATTTTTCCATTGATTTTTAGAGAGAATGTATGGGAGAGGGGAAGAAAGAGAGCGGGGGCGAGGGGGGGGAGAGAAACATCAAATGGTTACCTTCCATACGCCTCAATGGGGTGCGGAGGGGGTGCGGACCAGACCTGCAACCCAGGTATGTGCCTTTGACGGGGAATCGAACACAAGACCCTCCGGTGCCAAGGCAGGTGCTCTAACCATTGAGCAACCAGCTAGGGCTGGGGCAGCTTCTTTTTGCACCTGTGGTGGAAGGTTGAGGCTCTCGTGTCTGCTTTCCTGTTAAAGGGAAGATCCTCCTGGTAATTCTCATGGCAGTGCTGTTAGTGTTTGCTAAGTACAGTCACGAGTCATTTGATATTTCTAACAACCCTGTGATGGAGACAGGCTTGATGTACACATTTTCTAGAGGACATTCGGAAGTTCAGAGAAGCTAAGACTTGCCTGAAGCCACACAGCTAGGAATAACTTAACCTGGAGCCAGGCCTTCTGATATGGGATCTTTCCACCCTAACTATCGGCCTTCCCTGGGAACAGACTCTGGTTCCTCCTTTTGAGGCAACAGAGTATAGAGTTTATGCCACAGGCTAGATCTGAATCTCAGTCCTACTTGCAGCTGTCACGCTCTGGGCAGTAAACTTCACTAGTGTGGGCCGCCGGTTTTTTCACTTGTTAACAGTTGATCATGACACTGTCTTCATGGTGGTGGATGAGGCAAGGGTTTAGTGAGATCTGGTATGTCAAGGCACAAGAGCGGGTATGCAGTAAGCAGCAGCTGACATCGTTGCTCTTCTTTGCATCCCCACTGCGTGCCTGGCGCCTGGAATAGCACCTGGGGGAGGCGGGGGGCTCGTTTCTGGTGGCTTTCCTGGCCTGGCCTAAGTCCCATGCCTCCCTGCAGGCCCCCAGTATGGCACGCTGGAGAAGGCCTGGCATGCCTTCTTCACGGCGGCTGAGCGGCTGAGCGCGCTGCACCTGGAGGTTCGGGAGAAGCTTCATGGGCAGGACAGTGAGCGGGTGCGTGCCTGGCAGCGGGGGGCCTTCCACCGGCCAGTGCTGGGTGGCTTCCGAGAGAGCAAGGCGGCAGAGGACAGCTTTCGCAAGGCCCAGAAGCCCTGGCTGAAGAGGCTGAAGGAGGTGAGCGTGGGAGGGATGCGCAGCAGTGGCCTGCTCCTTACTAAGTCCACGGGCCTGGGGTGTGGTGTGCTGGGTCCAGAATTGTCCCTGTGTGTGCCAGGTTGAGGCCTCCAAGAAGAGTTACCACGGAGCCCGGAAGGAGGAGAAGACAGCGCAGACTCGGGAGAGCCACGCGAAGGCAGACAGCACGGTCTCACAGGACCAGCTGCGCAAGCTGCAGGTGCGGGTGGACCGCTGCACCAAGGAGGCCGAGAAGGTACCGCCATGGATGGGCTAGCCCAGCTCAGGGCTTCCTGAATGCCGTTCCCGGTCCCCAGCACTCTTCCTGCTCTCGTCCTCACCTGCCACCCTCTCTCCAGATTACCATTTAAAGGAGGAACCTGAGAAAAGACGATGCTTTATCCAGGGAAAGAAACGGTGCAAGCTCAGGCATTGGGATAATTTTAGCAGCTTAGACCTTCCCAGCTCCCTTCCTTTCCCAGTGTTCCACCTGGGACCACCTTTCATGTTGGTTGCTTTGACAGAATGCCTTTTCCTCTAGCTCTGCATATCCAAATCTTCCCATCCCCTGAGGTGCTGGTCAGTTTCCTCCTCCACCATGAAGCCTTCCTTGATTTCTTCCACCCCCTCCTGGGTGGACCCCATCTCACTTTTCACTCTCCATCTCTTCTTACTCTCACGTTTAGTCTTCACTCACCAGACTCTAAATGCTGCTGTGCCCAAATGTCACCTCTCTTATTAGGCTGTTAGGGGCAGGAGCCAGACCTTGTGACTGGTTGCCCCTGGTGCCTAGCCCAGGGTCTAGCCAATGGCAGGTACTCAGTAAATACTAGCGGAATCGTAAGTGGAAGGAGGTCTCGTGCTGACCAGGTCCCCTCCTCCCCCACCCAGACAAAAGCCCAGTATGAACAGACGCTGGCAGAGCTGCATCGCTACACCCCACGCTACATGGAAGACATGGAACAGGCCTTCGAGACCTGCCAGGCTGCTGAGCGCCAGCGGCTTCTCTTCTTCAAGGATATGCTGCTCACCTTACACCAGCACCTCGACCTCTCCAGCAGTGAGAGGTATGGCCTGCGTGGGCATGCAGATCTGGGGAACTGCTGGGTCTCTTCCACTCCCTTGGGCTCTGGCTGGGCTGAAAGAGATTAAGGAGGTGCAAGGGCCCAAGGCTTCCTAGTTTGAGGGTTGTGCCTTGGGCCACAGGTTCCATGAGCTCCACAGAGACCTGCATCAGGGTATCGAGGCAGCCAGTGACGAACAGGATCTGCGCTGGTGGCGTAGCACCCACGGGCCGGGCATGGCCACGCACTGGCCACAGTTTGAGGTATGTGTTCCAGGTGGGGCTGGGAGATGGGATGGACTCCCATGGGGCTCAGCCTGGACCTCAGGAGGGAGGCCAGGACTTGGGATGAAGAGGTGAAGGTGATTTGGATGGCCCTGGATGCCACCACAGCCTGCAGCCCAGCCTGACCCTAAGCACTGTCCCCACAGGAGTGGTCCTTGGACACACAGAGGACAATAAACCGGAAGGAGAAGGGTGGCCGGAGCCCTGATGAGGTTACTCTGACCAGCATCGGGCCCACAAGAGATGGTGCTGTGCCCCCACCTCAGTCCCCCGTGTCCCCAGGGTGAGAGCCAGAAACTTGGTTGTTCAGCTCTGGCCCCTGCCCTGCCCGCCTTTCCTTCATTCCCTTCACACCTGAAGTGGGTTGAAAATGGGTGTCAGAGCCATAGCCAGTTTGGCCCAGTGGATAGAGCGTCGGCCTATGGACCAAAGGGTCCTGGGTTTGATTCCGGACAAGGGCACGTACCTTGGTTGTAGGCTCCTCCTCAGGGCTCGTGCAGGAGACAACCAATCAATGTTTCTCCCACATCAGAGTTTCTCTCTGTCTTTCCCTCTCTCTCTTCCACTGTCTCTAAAAATCAATGGAAAAATATCCTCAGGTGAGGATTTAAAAAACAAACAAAGAAAATGAGAGTCAGGGACCTTGGACCTCCCGAGTGGCTGTAATGCCAGTTTTCTTGGTGGTTTAGGTTTGCCAGGTGTTCCCCCGTTCCCTCTCACTTACTGCTCATGTCAGCACTGTGTGGCAGGAAGCCCTGAGCTCACAGGCAGGTGTGGCAGAGGCCAGGCTATCTTCCAGTTCTTCCCCACCTGCCTCTCCCAGGGTCCCTCCCGGGGGTGGGCCCTTGACTGTGGGTCCCAGGCTCTCTCGGTCAAGGTGTTCCTTATGCCCTGAGCCTGCCCCTTCTGCCTCCCCTCTCCCGCAGTGGGCAGGATGAGGAGTGGTCAGATGAGGACACCCCCCGGAAGGCTGCCACTGGGGTGCGGGTGCGGGCGCTCTATGACTACGCTGGCCAGGAAGCTGATGAGCTGAGCTTCCGAGCAGGTACCCTGGGACCCCTTTCCTGCCTTTCCAGGCTTCAACCTTCCCTCCCCATTTATTGTCTTGAACAAGGGGGTGGCAAAGGGAAGCCAGACACCTACTTCTTAAGGGTCAGTTCTCTGACTCTTAAGGTTGCTCTGGGTCCAGTCTGCAGGAGTCAGAGTGTCTGCCTCTCGAAACCTCCAGCTGGGGTCCGACTGCTGCATCCAGGGCCTGGGGTGGGGTGGCTTGCTGACTGGGACCTCCCTCTGCCTGAGCCAGGTCTCTTCCCCTAGCTGGGTTCTCTGGGTTACTGCCTGCCCCCCTCAGTCCTTGACCCAATTGCAACAACGGGGCTGGGCCAGGGCAATTGGCAATGACCAACCCCCCTTCTCCCAGGGGAGGAGCTGCTGAAGATGAGCGAGGAGGACGAGCAGGGCTGGTGCCAGGGCCAGCTGCAGAGCGGCCGCATTGGCCTGTACCCTGCCAATTACGTGGAGTGTGTGGGGGCCTGACAGCCCTGGCAGCCCTTCTGCAATGTTTCTCCACCCTGAGCCAGAGCCCAGCTTCTGGACAGCCGGACCCGAGGGCCCTGAACCAGTGCCCCTGCTGTCCCTCTGTCCCCGGAGGAGGGAGGAAGTCCTGGGAGTCAGGGAGGGGAGGGGCCGACTGAGTCTAGGCTGTGGGTAATGGGAGGTCAGGAGGTCACAGAAGGGTTCAGGGTACCTCGGCCTCCCCAGGAGTGTTTGGTCTCCCCAGGAGCCATGGACCCAATTCCTGGTCTCTGCGTTTTGGGGTTCCTGGGGTGGGCTTGAGGTGAGTGTCGTTCTGAGCTAGCAACACTCTTTTGTGGCTTGTTCTAGTGTGTATTAAACTTGAAAAAAATAAAAAAGCATTTTCAGGCTTGTGTGCACCTATTTATTTATTTATTTATTTTCATCTTTTATGATACTCCACCCTTGCCAGGCTGCAGAAGGCGTTGGGGGAGAGAGGCACTGAGGGGAGGTCCGTGGGCCCAGAGAATGTTACGGGGACGGGGGTTGGGCAAAGGTTGGCCAGATGGTACCCTAACCTTGGGTGGAAGAGGCTAGCATCAGGTTTGGTTGGCGTGAGGCGGCCAAAGCTCGAGGCGGGGTGCCGACTTCTGAGCTTGGTGGGGGCGGCCTAGCCAGTCTGTCTTCCCTTTCGGGCCTGTGGCACCTTGAGCGCTTGGTAGGACTGTTAATCATTATTCACCCGCTGGAACCGGCCCCAGCTACGGCCCGGATCCCCCGACTCGCAGCTCACGCCCGCTGGGAGGCGACTCCACCTTCCGAGGGGAGGGGAGCGCCCCGCCCCGCCCCTCCCGCCCCGCCCTCGCCCGCCAGCCCCGCCCCCTCCCGCCAGCCCCGCCCCGCCGGCCGGCCCAGCAGGGCGCCGTCGCACCGCCCTGGCTGCGGATTGGCCCCGGCGGGCGCAGCGTCGATGCGGCGTGGTTTGAGGAGGCGGGGCTCTGACGTCTGCGTCGGTCCCGCCGGCGCTCATTGGTCCAGCTCAGGACGAATCGCCCCACCCCTCGCCGGCACCTCGCGCCGCGGAGGCCGACCTCGTGCCCCGCCTTCGCGGCCGCGGATTGGCCCGCGACGGGGCCCGTCAGTCGCGCTGGTGTCTGGGAAGGAGAGAAAATGGCGTCCGAGCCGAGCAAGACCGAGATCCAAACCCTTTTTAAGAGGCTTCGCGCAATTCCGACCAACAAGGTGCCTGAGCGGGAGGCGCGCGGGGTCTAGCGCCGGCCGAGAGGAACTCTCCCGGCTCCCCCGGGGCCCGAGGGAAGGAGAGGGGGCGGACGTGGGCAGTTTTCCTGGGTGTCAGTGCCCGGCCTCCGCTCGGGGTCCCTGATCATTCGCTCATCGCCTCCTCCATCCAGGCCTGTTTCGACTGTGGCGCCAAGAATCCGAGTTGGGCCAGCATCACGTACGGTGTTTTCTTGTGCATTGACTGCTCCGGGGTGCACCGCTCCCTGGGTGTCCATCTCAGCTTCATCAGGTGGGGTCTCCTTATGGCGGCTGTGTTTCTACCCGGCCAGGGCTGTGCGCTCAGCAGGGCAGAGTGGCGACCTGGACGGTCCTGAAGTCGGTGTTCAGAAACCTCCCGGCCGGGGTCCGGTAGCCTCCCACGGGAGGGCATCGCCTGCGTAGACCCCTGACCCCAGACAGTGCGTTTCCGCGTCTGGGTCAAACTCCCTTCTTTCCTGGCGGCCAAACTGGACTCTCCGGACGTTCGGTTTGGAGAAAAATTAGCTGCACTGCCCTTGTCGTTGCTGACGTATTGGTCGAGTACGTCTGAAGTGAGACCGGCCGTCCTCAAGTAGAAAGCCAGGTCCGAGCTTAGGGCCTGAGAATTCAACCGCCCTCTCTGATCTGGAAAATAATTAGCGCCCGTTTGACTCTGAGGCTGAGGAGCAGAGCTTTGGTGGGCAGGGAGGAGGGGAGGACATGGGGTGGCGGGGGGGCCGGGAGGGGCGGGTGCTGCCGCCCGAGACCACAGGCAGGCCGGGTCTGCAGGGAAGCGCCCCCGCGTCTGCTGGTGACACGCAGCCTTGCACACAGGTCCACAGAGTTGGATTCCAACTGGAGCTGGTTCCAGCTGAGGTGCATGCAGGTCGGCGGGAATGCCAATGCGGTAAAGCCCCTCCCCGCGATCCTCTCTGCCCTCATTCTCCCGCCCGGGACTAACCTGACCGTGACCCCGGAGGAGGCCCCCCAGTTTCTCTGTTCAGAGGATTCTTTGGGCTATGGCAGCGCTGTCCATGGCTCTCTAAGCGTGGAAATGGGTCACTGTTCCTCTCAGAGGGGCTTCAGATGGAAACTAAAGCGGACAGAGGTTCCCGGGGGAAGGCCGAGGGAGTTGGGGCCCCCAGCCATCTCGGTCTCGGCCTGGATGGGTGGAGGATGGGCACAGCGGGGACGGCATGCTGTCCTCAGGCGGGGTTGAGTGAGGGCTGGGCCTCGGTCCCTGTTTTCCTCAGGGATTCCTGAGTATCTTTACCTCCGTGAAGAACTTTACCTCCATTGTTTATACAGGATAACACCTCCTGTAACTGGGCTGTTAGAAGGGGCTGCTTTTTACTTTGCTCCGGGGAGAATCACCTGTAGCACGCTCTCCTCTCTTTATTCTCCAGACAGCTTTCTTCCGCCAACATGGATGCACAGCCAGTGATGCCAACACCAAGTATGATAGCCGAGCTGCCCGGATGTACCGGGAAAAGATCCGGCAGCTGGGAAGTGCAGCCCTGGCCAGGCATGGCACCGATGTGAGTGCCTGGTCCCGGGCTGGGGCGGTGTGATGAGGAGGGATATTCAGAGCCCTGTTTGAAGCGTGTCTGGTCCTTTCCAGCTCTGGATAGACAACATGAGTGGTGCTCCCCCCAGTCACTCTCCGGAGCGGAAGGATTCTGATTTCTTCATGGAACACACTCAAGTGAGTACCCACAAGGACTGTTTCCCGTGATGGCTGCTGACAGGTGGTGAACTGGCCAAGGCCGTCTGTGATCCTGGGCATGGCTCCCATTCGCCTTGGTGTGATACCTCAGACAGGCCCAGGTGCCTCCTCCTCCCGGAGTAGGTGTGCAGTGTGGCCCTCCTTAGGAACGACCCCTGTCTGTGGACGGGCGCTAGGGAGGAGGAGCAGCATCTTGAAGGCTCTAGCGGTGTGGGGAGCCTCCAGCAGCTTTTCCTGGACTCTTCCCCTGTCAGCGAGGCACTTGTGGCCGGGACAGTGAAAGGAACCTCCTCGGAAGCCCACCCTGGGCGGAGGTTCCCCCTCCCCTGGCGCCGGGGCTGATGTGAGACTCTGTCAGTTTGAATCCCAGCTCCTCTACTTGGCATTTCCAGGATGTGGCGAAGTCACTTAACCTGTCAAAACCCAGTCTTTGCAGTAGAGATGTAACTACTTTACAGGGTTTGTTGTGATAATTAAAGTTGTTGTATGTGAAAAGCTGTTAGACTTGTGCCTGGCACATGGTAAGTGCCTACTAGTTGTTAGTTGTTACTAAATTAGGGGTATGGGTCTGAGTAAATAGTGGAGTGGTGGAAGTGGCTGCTAGTTTCCTACTTCTTTCTTCCATAGTGAATAGCAACTATAATTGTACTCACTATCTGTCAGTCTCCTTTCCTCATGGGCTTGGAGTAGGGCCTGGTGTCCAGAAGATACTTGTAGGTTCTTTGTGCTCCCTGCATCTCATTGAGGTGTCTGTGATCTGGCTTCCTTTTCAGCCCCCTGCCTGGGATGTACCAGCCACCGACCCCGCAGAGCCCGAGCAGCCAGCCCTGTCTACAGAAAGCAGTGGATTGGCACGTGAGTTCAGCCCAGAGTCCAACCAGGAGCCCTGGTCCTGGCAAAGGCCTCTGAGTTGAGACATCTGGTCAAGGGAATAGGAGTAGGGAGTGTCCTATATCTCTGGGTGGGCTGGGATGCATTTTAATTCTTTGGAGAGAGTAATGGGCATTCCTTTATCTTTTGGTGGCCTCAGCTGAGGAAAGCCAGTGCCTCCTACTCTTGTCCCCTCATCTCCCTAAAGGGAAGTCACAGGAAGCTTTGAGCCTTATACCTAACTCCCACCATTGCATCCACAGAGCCGGAGCATGGCCCCAACACGGACCTGCTTGGCACCTCACCCAAAACTCTGGGTCAGTATGACAGTTGGTGGGGTGGGGTAACTGGGAGAGGCTCTTTTCAGATCTGCTCCTGCCTAGTCATATGGACTGAGGCCCCAGGACACTGAGCATCTTACCTCTCTGGACTGGGACTGGTGTTGAATTCATGGCTTCAACATCAACTGCAAGGGCTTGAGAGCCAGGCCTTTGAATTGATGAACCTGGGTGGGTTGGTGTGTAAGGCCTGGGTTGGCCTCCTGGTGTGGGGCTGGCTCTAGCCAAAGTGTGGAAAGGCCAGCTTGAGACTGGACATCTAACCCTGAGGTCTGAGGCAGGGTTGGCCTTCTGGTCCATTTCATGGGATGGGGGGACAGCTCTGAGCTGCTCAAGGCTGGAGGTGACATTGTCCTTTCTTAGCCAGGGAGGCCTTTCAGGTCTTTGCTACTCTTTAGTGTCCTTCTGGTTCAGGGTGAACAGTCCATTTGCTGACCTCGGTTTGTTCTGTTGACCTTTGGGGGTTGGGGCAGGAAGCCAGCAGGAGACTGTCAGACTGATCACATGAGAAGGCTGGCATGACTTGGTCTAAAGCAAGGCTCTGTAGAGGCCTCTGGGCTTGGGAAATACATGGAGGCTCTGGGTGGGCCCCTTGTTAGCCACAGTCTGTTTCTCTCCAGAGTCCATGTATCTGTCACCTAAAGGGGCCCTTCCTGCCAGAGGTAACCAACAGCCACTTGGGGAGCCTAGCCCCTTGCACGCAGCTCCCTGCTTTAGGAACTGAGGCTGATGTTTGGCATCTGCCCCCGCCTAGTGGTCCTCATATTTGTTCAGGGACTTTGTCTCTGCTGCTTCAGGTCTAGTTCTTGTCTCAATCTACTGGGAATCCCTTAATCTTGTCTGTCTTAGGCTTAGACTATCCTGACACCATTAATTGGAACTGGTGGTGGCAGCTTTGCCTTCCCTGCCCGAAGCTATTCTTTTTAGCAGCTCTTGCCAGGAAACTGCATGGTGTGGACTGAGCTGCTGCCTCTGACCTCCCTTTGTCTTCACTCATGCCTCACCTTGTTTCTCATGCAGAAATGAAAACCTCCCTCATTGGCAAGAAGAAGCCAGCAGCCACTAAGAAAGGGGTAGGTGGGGAGAGGCAGTATGGGAGAGTGGTCAGGAGCCAGAGTCAGCCTGCCTGGGTTCACCCCTTGGCCCTGCCAGTCACTGGTTATGTGACTTTGGCAAAGGTCCTCAACTTCTCAGAACCTTATCTGTGCAAGGGCTGTGA